TAAATCAAGCAGAAGGTCAATAAGGAAAGAGAGAACTTGAACAGCATTACAGATCAATTGGACATAGATACGCACAGCACGTTCTTCCCAAGCACACATGGGACATTCTGCTGGATAGATCACATATTGTGTCACAAAATAAGTTTTCACCAATTTAAGATTTAAATTATACAACATATCTTCTCCAATTATAATAGAATGAAACTAGAAATAATAGCAAAAGTAAAAGAAAATCCACAAATATATGAAAATAAAACAATATACTTTTAATCAAGCAATTAGTGAGAGGGAAAAAGTCAAAGGGATTTAGAAAACATATGAAGACAAATGAGAATGAAAACACAACATAACAAAACTTACGGGATACAACAAATGTACTAAGGGGAAAATGTATAGCAGTGAAAGTTTACATTAAAAAGGAAGCAAGATCTCAAATAGACACTTCATCTTATAATTCAAGGAGCTAAAAGAAAAAAGAAAAAACTAAAACCAAAGTCAGCAAGAAGAAGGAGATTACAGAGATTAGAGCAGAAGTGAAATTTTAAAAAAAGAACAGTAGAAAACAATGCAAGAAAGAACAGATTTTTTTGAACAGATCAACAAAATTGGCAAACCATTAACTAGGCTAATGCAGAAAAGGAGAAGACTCAAATACCTAAAATTAGAGCTGAAATAAAATATTGCAATTCATGTCACATAAAGAAAAATAATAAGAAACTACTATGGACAATTATATGTTAACAAATTAAATAACCTTAGAAATGGATAAATTCCTAGAAATGTACATCCTACCAAAGATGAATTGCAGAAGAAAGAAAAGATGTAAGTAGGCCTATAACTTGTGAGGAGATTGAAGCCAACAAATAAAAGGCCAGGATTAGATAGTTTCACTGGAGAATTATATCACACACTTAAAGTATGAATAACAACAATCCTTCTCAAACTTCCAAAGAACGGAAGAGGAAGAGTCACTTCTAAAGTTCTATGTCACTTCTAAGGAGTCATTCTATGAGGCCACCATTGCCTTGATACTGAAACCAGACAAAACACAACAAGAAAACTATGGGTCAATATCCCTGATGACTAGTAATACTAAAGTTGTAAATAAAATACTAGCAAAAGGAATTCAGTAGAACATTACAGTAATATTTTATGATCAGATGGGATTTATACCTGGGCAAAAGGATGGTTCAACATATCAAAATCAACCAATATAATACACCTCATTGACAAAATGAAGGACAAAAACATGGTTATCTAAACCCATACAGAAAAGGCATTTTACAAAATTTAATACTTTCATGATAATGACACTCAATGGACTAGGAATAGAAGTAAACTATCTCAACACAATAAATCCATATATAAAAACCTCACAGTTAACATCATACTCTTTGGAAAAAGGTTTCCCTTTAAAATCAGGAACAAGTAGGCAAGGATAATCACTTTTGCCACTACTATCTGACACAGTACTGAAAATTCTAGCCAGAGCAATTAGACATAAAATAGAAATAAAAGGCATGCAATTGGAAAAAAATTAAAATAACCTGTTTGTCAATGATATGGTCTTGTAAATAAAAACCCCTAAAGTACCCACCAAAACAACTATTAGATCTCATAAATGAATTTGTCAAAGTTGCTGGTTATAAAATCAAAACCAGCAATCAGATGTGTTTCTATACATTAACAATGAACAGTCTGAAATGGAAATTAGGAATATAATCCCATTTACTGTGACATCAAAAAAAGATAGAAGACTTAAGAATAAACTTAACCAGGGAGGTGAAAAGATATACATTGAAAACTATAAAACATTGCTAAAAGAAATCAAAGAAACTTTTTTTAATTAACAATTTTTCAATCAAGAATATTTATATTCTACCCTATCTCTTGAACAGTAGAGATGCTATAAGAGTTACATAAATAGAATATCATACAGACCTCTATATAACAAATGTGGTTAGAAAACCAGTATTTTACATATTAATGTTCAGACAAATGTGAGGAGCCATAAGATGATCATGCTATATCAAGCAAAGTTAGCCATTTTTTTAAAACACTGTGTAACAGGCAACAATTTTATATAAACATCCTTGACTATGCTTTAAAAAATTTTATTTTTCAATTACAATTTCCATTTAATATTATTTTGTATTAGTTTCACATGTACAGCATAGTGGTTAGATAGTCATATACTTTACACAGTGTTCCCTCAATATTTTCAGTATACACATGGTACCATACATATTATAGTTACTACAATATTGTTGACTATATTCCCTATGCTATAACCTACTTACCCATGACTATTTTGTAACAACCTATTTGTATTCCTTAATCCCATCACATTTTTCACCTCGTCCCCTAACCTGTCTCCCTTCTAGCAACCATAAGTCTGCTGTCCGTATCTATGAGTCTTTCAATTTTGTTAATTTATTTTATTCTTTAAATTTCACATGTAAGTGAAGTCATATGGTATTGTCTTTCTCTGGCTGACTTATTTTACTTAGCATACCCTGTAGGCCCATCCATGCTGTTGCAAATGGTAAGATTTCATCATTTTATGGCTGAGTAGTATTCCATCATACATATGAGCCATAGCTTTTTTATCTACTTGTCTATTGGTGGGCACTTGGGTTGCTTCCATACCTTGGCTATTATAAATAATGCTGCAATAAACCCAGGGGTGCATATGTTCTTTCAAATGAGTGTTTTAGGTCTTTTTCAGATATATACCCAGAAGTAGGATTGCTGGGTCATAAGCCAGTTCCACTTTTAAATTTTTGAGGACCCTACATAGTGTTCTCCATATTGGCTCCTCCATTCTGCATTCCAACCAACAGTGCATGAAGGTTCCTTTTTCTTCACGTTCTCACCAACAGTTGTTATTTGTTCATTTACTGATGACAGCCATTCTGACATGGTGAAGGGATATCTCATTGTGGATTTAACTTGCATTTCTCTGATGACGAGTGACTTTGAGCAGCTTTTCATATGTCTATTGGCCATCTGTATGTCCTCTTTGGAGAAGCATCTGTTCAGGTCTTGTGCCCATTTTTGAACTGGATGGTTTGTTTTTTTGGTGGTCAGTTGTATGAGTTCTTTATATATTTGGATATTAACATTTTATCAGATGTATCACTTGATACATCCATTCTGCGGGTTAGCTCTTTATTTTGTTGATGGTTTCCTTTGCTCTATAAAACTTTTAATTTGATGTAGTCCCATTTGTTTGTTTTTGTTTGTTTATTTCCCTTGCCTGAGAAGACATGTCAGGAAAAATATTACTAAGAGACACATCAGAGATTTTACTGCCAATGTTGTCTTCTAGGAGATGTATGGTTTCAGGTCTTACATTTAAGTCTTTAAACCATTTGAGTTTATTTGTGTATATGATGTAAGAAGGTGGTCTAGCTTTATTTTGTTGCATTCATCTGTCCAATTTCCAACACACCATTTACTGAATTGACTTTATCCCCATTGTATGTTCTTGCCTCCATTGACCATACAATCATGAGTTTATTTCTGGACTCTCTATTCAGTTATATTGATTTATATGTCTGTTTTTATGCCAGAACCATACTGTTTTGGTTACTATGGCTATGTAGTATAGTTTGATATCAGGTGTGAATACTCTTTTTAATTTTTGCCTCTTTCATGCTGGAGAATCAATTCAATCATATAGTGTGGCACAATCTGAGTTCCTTCACTCTTTTGGTAACTGCCCATTTGTGTCCTTCCCCAGAGAGACAACAGAGGTGACTGGTACAACTCTGGGCTGGAAAGGCCTAAATGTGCAACTGTGTCACAAACATCACCATCTGGGCCAAAGACAGTTTCAATTTCTAAAATTGGAATGATAACAATAGGGTTATCATTATCTGCAGAGCAGGGTTCTTGTGAAGAATTCATGGGCTGATTCATGCAAAGAGCCTAGAACGGTGCCGGGAACATAGTAAGCCTTCCACAAATACTGTATTTCTTATGAGCCCCAAAGCTGTAATTTCTGGCCCATGAAAAACATTGCTTGTGTGGATTATTACAGGAGCTTCTTAACTAGTCTTCCTGACTCAAGCCTCATTCTTTATTAAATTTCCCTGGAATGCAGCCCAAATGAATTCCCTAAGGACTAACCTGAAAATGTTCTTCTTGTGACAGAATTCCTCAACAGACTTTACAACCTTGGGATTTCCCTCTTCCGGGGACAAGTCCCTCCCTTGTCCGTGCTGGGATCTTCAATAGACCTTTGGGGTCTCCTTTCTCATGCATCACCCATACTCCAAACATAAACAACCATGTGCCTTTCTCTGAAAGTTCCTGGGTTTTGTGCTTCCTTGGGTACTTTTCTCTTCCTAGATTCGCCCACCAGTGCGCAAACACACCAACAAATCACGCTGATCTCTGGCACACAAGGACACACAGCAGAAAGAACGACCTGGTAAAGTGAAGGCCCCTGGGAAGCTTTCTCTTGCCTGAAGCCCGGTGCTTCCCACGGTGGGAGTGGAGGTCTAGCATCTACACTGATATTCTCCGGGCTCCTGCCCTTCGTTGCAAGCCAGCCCGTCGGGAAACTGGGAACGGTGGGGTGGCAATATGGGCACAGGCGCCTATAAAACATCCGAATCCAGCTGATGGAAAACATCAGGGGTGTCCTAGATCCTACAGAAAACAGACTAAAGGGCACAGGAGAAAGTCAGCCCTGCCAAGTTCTCTTTTCTTCCTCCTGTGTCGCTACTCCTCCTTTTCTTTCTGCCTGACATCGTCATTTCTCCTTTAATCTCGCGCACCATTCTCTCGTGTCTTCCACGTGCCCCCAACGGCACCACCCAGAAAACGAACTAGACGCCCTGGGCGGGACATGCGCCCTGACCCATCCTAGACCAAGGCCAGCGGTCCAGCACACGCTGCTCACCTAGTCGCGCACTTTGCGCCGCTCCCGCGCCTCTAGCGGCGGTCCCTGGAAGTGCAGGGGCTGACACCCTGGGGACCAGAGCTGTGCCATGAGGTCAGTGAGGGCAGCCCTCTCCCGAGGCCATTTGCTCCACGTGCTGGTCCTGGCGGTGCTCCTGGTTGACACCCTGGGCGAGGATTTAATTTTTCACCGGGAGTTGGGGTTCGACTCTTATGAAATCACCATCCCCAAGAAACTGAGCTTCCGGGGAGGGGAGCAGGGTGTGGCCAACCATGTGTCCTACCTCCTGCAGGTAAAAGGCAAGAAGCATGTCCTTCACCTGTGGCCCAAGAGGTTTCTGTTGCCCCGACATCTGCCAGTTTTCTCCTACACAGGACAGGGGCAACTCCTGGAAGACTACCCTTACATACCCAGGGACTGCAACTATATGGGCTTGGTAGAAGGAGTGGAGGATTCTGAAGCTACTTTCAGTACATGCAGTGAGGGACTCCGAGGCATTTTGAAAATTGATTCCAAATATTACCAAGTCGAGCCCCTTAAGACCTCTTCCACTTTTGAACACATCGTATATCTTCTGAAGAACGAGGAAGAATTTCAAGATCAGATCTGTGGCTTAATTGATGAGGCTACTGAGGAGCAGATGGGCCAACCTGAGAATATGGCTAGGAGAAGGGATTTTACTGGACCCTCTACACACACAAAATACTTGGAATTAGGCCTGATCTTTGATAATGAGAGATATTTATATTCAAATTCCAATCTTACTGAAGTCACAAATGATGCCATTCTTCTGACTTCAATTATGGACACCTACTTTCAGGAACTTCATGTGAGAATACAACTGAGCGCACTTGAAGTATGGACAGATAAAGACAAAGTAGATATTGGCTTTTCAACATTACAGGAAGCTTTAGGCCAATTTTTGATATACCAGAGAAATGTACTAAGTACTATGTTTTCTGCGGATTGGGCGCAACTCTACACTAAAAGACGTTATATTGATGCTCTTGCATGGTCCTGGGGGAAAGTGTGTACTATGAGATATGCTGGATCTGTAAGCGTTTTTCCAGATAATGGTCTCCTTGGACCTGCCACTTGGGGTGCTCATAATCTGGGCCATAGTGTGGGAATGAACCATGATGACAAATACTGCAGATGTAAGGGTAGGCGTAGTTGCATCATGGGCACTGGACGAATTGGGTTTAGTAATTGTAGTTTTATCCATTTTTTTAACCACGTACGTAGAGAAGCCAACTGTCTAAATAATATCCCCAAACAACTATTTGTGGTTAAGAGATGTGGAAACAAAATTGTGGAAGACGATGAGGAATGTGACTGTGGTTCATTAGAGAACTGTGAAACAGACCTATGTTGTCAACCAGGATGTAAATTCAGAGATGGTGCCAATTGCAGCATTGGGCTGTGCTGTCATAACTGCCACTTTCGTCCTTCTGGGTACATGTGTCGAAAGGAAGAAAATGAATGTGACCTTGCAGAATACTGCGATGGGGCCTCAGGTTTCTGCCCAACTGATACGTATAAACAGGATGGAACCCCGTGCAAGTACGAAGCTCGTTGTTTCAGGAAGGGCTGTCGATCCACGTATATGCAGTGCCAAAGCATTTTTGGATCTGATGCCAGGGAGGCTCCTGATCAATGCTATGAAGCAGTTAATTTAATAGGTGATCAATTTGGGAACTGTGGCATTATAGGATCTGGTTCCTATAAAAAATGTACCAGGACAAATGCAATATGTGGCAGAGTTCAGTGTATAAATGTCAGAACACTCCCTGATATGCCAGATTATACTAACGTCATTTCTACTCACCTCGGGGATAAAAATCTTAAGTGCTGGGGCATTGGTTATCATCAGTCCTTGGTGCCCATGGGGATTCCTGATGTGGGCGCCGTCAATGATGGTACCTCCTGTGGAACAAACCGGATATGTGTGAACACAACTTGTATGGATAGTTCAATTTTGAATTTTGACTGTTTGCCTCAGAAGTGCAACCACAGGGGCTTTTGCAACAATAATAAAAACTGCCACTGCATGTATGGCTGGGCGCCTCCCCTCTGCGAGGAGGCTGGGTATGGAGGAAGCGTGGACAGCGGGCCGCCAGGAATGCTGAATGTGGGGGTGCCCGACTCTGTCCAGATCACGTTCCTTATATTACTGCGTCTTATTTTGTTACTCATCACAGTGATTATTGTGTTTTTCAGACAACTTATAGGAAATTATTTAACCCCCCCCCCAACTGAAACACCACTGAGTAACACTGAAGTTAGAGAAACACCACTGCCTAACACTAATGTTAAAAAACCCAAGGCAAAAACTATTAAAAGAAACAAAGTGTAATCAGGAAATCCATAGTCACTCCATAACACAGGATCATATACTGAACAAGCTTATTATTTATCCAAATGGCTCTTCATTCTTTTCCCACCTTTTTTTTTTTTTTTTTTTTTTTTTTTTTTTTACTTAATTTCCCTTCATGATTGACCAGCAAATAAATGATATTCTTGTTTGGGGAAAAATCAGTGCCTTCTACTTTCCTAGTATTTCCTTGCCCCTTAGGTTATGATCAAGGTTTGCGTGTCCTGAGAAGGGTGCCCTAGCGGCTCTCCTGAACGCTGAAGCTCTGAATGTTGTTTCATGGGATGACAGTGGCTTCCAGAGTCAAGCCCTGTCTCTCCAGATCCTGGCAAAGGGATTATTTTCCTTTCTCTTGTCTCCCTCAGCGTGATCAGTGAAAAAGTCTGTGCCTGTGTCCCATGCTGAATGATTCATGGTGACTATCACATTTTGCAATGTAATATAATACTTTATATTTTAAGATTTAATTATTATCATTATTAAACATTAAATTATAATATATTTATTGTATATTATATATTATACAATAAAATTATATAGTATATAATGTATAATAAACTATATATTGTTAATATAATTATATATTAAATTATAATACGATTGAATTAATATAATATAATTTTATAATATACTTTATGAGGGATGTCCCTTAGATAAGTATTTCCTCCTGTGTAGTCACTGTGTGGGTCACTGCAGCTTTCTGATGTGTGGGTCTGATGCAGTGTTCAGGGTGACCTCAGCTGGGTTAAGGACACTAATCTACTCTTGCTTTGCACTTCAGTCTATAAATGATGACAAGCCTGCCAGTGTCGCGGGGGCAAGGATCTAACGATGTTCTGTGCTTTGCGATTCTGCTCACAGGGACAGGTTTTGTGTGCCTGTGTGCTGAGGGACACCTGGCTCTAGGTTTGCCATACCCCTAAGTAGAGCTGGGGGGAGTGAAAAATGTCTTTCACTCCCCAGTACCTCCATGTCTGCCTCCAGAAATTCTCTCCCCTCTGTGCGTTGCTTTGGGGGCAGGAGAGGAAGACCGAGTGGCCCGTGGGAGGAGTCAGGGTCCACCTCTCCTGCCCAGGGAGGGTCTCGTCCTTCCCAGACCTCGTGGGCCCAGCTCTTTTCAGCCTTGTTTCAGGCTGAGCCTCCCTGCTGTTCTCTCTCCTTGCCCACGGCACCTCCTTCCCCAAGCACCACCACAAGCCCACTGTCCCCATCCCAGTGTCCCCTTTCCTTAGCCACATCATCCTAATTACAGGAGAAGTTGAGGATGCCTCACAGTAGTGGTCCCCGGAGACTGTTTGGGGGCTCTGTTTACTCAGGGGCCATCAAGATAACCTCTATTTTGTGGTTATCAAGCTTGGTCATCACTAGAAAATGTCCTAAAAAAGCAAGGGCGTTGACTCACACCTGCAACCCTGATGAAGATGGCCGCCGCGACTGAGAGTTCACCGCATGCCCGACGATGATCTGAGTGTCTCCTGTGTGTTCATGTCACACTCCTGAAAATTACTCTCGGAGGTAGGTGTGATATTTGTCCTATTTTCCAAAAGAGAAATTGAGGCACAATGAGGTTAAGTAATCTGCTTGAGAATATGTACCTGATAAGTAATGATGTTATTCAAGGAAACAATATATCTTTCTTCAATAGACATTAGGAAAGTGAATTTAGAAAGAGGACTTATTTAAAAACTGTAAGGATATTGATCCATTGGGAAATGTTCCTGTGAAAATTTTATTTATTATTTTATTTTTTAAGTTCAAATTAAAATAATAAAGTTTATTGCTTTCATCTCTTTTTTTATTTTTTTAATTATATTCTATTGATTATGCTATTACAGTTGTTCTGATTCCCCCCCACCCCCCTCCATCCAGCACCCCCCACTCCCTCAGGCAATTCCCCTACTATTCTTCATGTCCATGGACCTTGCATATAAGTTCTTTGACTATTCTATTTCCTATACTGTACTTTACATCCTCCTGGCTATTCTGTAACTACTTATTTGTACTTCTTAATACCGTCACCTCTTCACCCATTCTCCCCCTACCCTTCCCATCTGGCAACCTTCCAGTAACTAACTTCCTTTCTCTTGCTTTTAAGAGTCTGTCCTTATCTTTAACTTTTGGCATTTTAATTATAATGTGTTTTGAAGTGGTATTCTTTGCATCCATCACAATTGGGATTCTCTGCACTTCCTGGACTTGCATGTCTCTTTCCTTCACCAAATTAGGGAAGTTTTCTTTTACTATTTTTTCAGATAGATTTCCAATTTCTTGCCCTTTCTCTTCTCCTTCTTGTACCCCTGTGAGGCAAATGTTGGACCTCTTAAAGTTGTCACGGAGGCTGTTTATACTATCCTCATTTTGGGGGGATTCTTTCTTCTGTTGTTCTGCGTGGTTGTTTATTGTTACCTTATGTTCCAAATCATTGATTTGAATCTTGGCTTCATCCATTCTACTGTTGTTTTCCCATAAATTGTTCTTTATTTCAATTAGTGTATCCTTCTCTTTTGACTGGTCCTTTTTATGTTGTTGAGGTCCTCATTAAATTCCTTGAATATCATTATAACCAGTGTTTTGAACTCTGCATCTTATAGATTGCTTGTCTCCATCTCATTTAGATTTTTTCCTGGAGTTTTGATCTTTCTTTCATTTGGGCCATGTTTCTTTGTCTCCTTATTTTGACAGCCTCCTTGTGTTTATTTCTATGTATTAGGTAGAGCTGCTATGACTCCCTGTCTTGGTATCATGGCCTTATGTAGTAGGTGCCCTCCAGGGTCCAATGAAACAGCCTCTCCTGTCACCCAAGCTGGGTACTTGAGGTGCCCCCTTTGTGTGTGCTGAGTACACCCTCCTCTTGCAGTTGAGCCTTGGTTGATGTTGGCAGGTCAATGGGAGGGATTTACCCAGGCCAGTCAGCAGATAGGGGAGCATCAGCCTCTGCCTTCCGTGAATGATCAGCTGTGCAGGGCAGAGTGGTCATACTCTGATGTGGTCTGTAGCTGTCCACTGGGGGTACTGGCCCTAGGGTTTCCTGGGTGTTCAGGCCAATGTCAGCCCCCACCTCTGTTTTCCCCAGGGCCACCCTGCCTGAGCTGTAAAGCAATGTGAGATGGCTGCTACTTGTGCTGGGCTTGGAGATTCCTGACTGAAGCCAAGCTGTGACTCTAATCTGGCTGCAGCTAGAGCTCATTGAAGCCAGCTGTTGCTTTTTTGATAGGATTTAGGAGCCAAGACCAGCCATTCTTATGGGAAAGCAGCTTGGGTGGGCCCATAAATTGGGTTGGGTAGAGCCTCTGTGGATCTCCAAGGTGGGTCACACAGTGTTAGCCAGGCTGATGGAGTCTCAGATATGGCACCAGCCTATCAGCTCTGTTGAGGGAGGGCTCAGCAAAGGGATAATGGCCTGTGCTCATCCAGATGCCAGACACTTCATTCTCTCCCTATATAACACTGGTGCCCTTCAAGCTGCCATACTGGTGCTGGAGCTCAGAGGAAGTGAGTCTGAGTAGCTGAGTCTATATGCGGGTTCCCCAAGAGGAACTGCTTGGGGCTCCAGCAGCCTCCTCCACCGACTCAATCCCCACTGGTTTTGGCAGCCAGAAGTTGTGGGGATTTTTCCTCTTGGCACTGGAACCCTGAGATGGGGGGCCTGGTGTGGGTCTGGGACTCCTCACTCCTGAGATATCCCTCCTAGATTATCCACTTGGGTGTGGGAAAAGCCTGTTTCACATTTGCAACCCTCCCACCAGTCTGGATGGATGTGGTTTCTTCAGTTCCATAGTTGTCAGACATCCATTCAACTCAATTTCTGATGTTTCTGAGTGATGGTTGTTCTATATTTTAGTTGTAATTTTGATGTGGTTGTGCAAAGAGGTGAGCTATGTCTGCCATCTTGACCAGAAGCTGAAAATTTAAAAGTGATAAAATGTTCATAATATTTACCATCTTACCTATTTTTTCTTCTACTATATTGAGAAATTAATGACAAATATAATTGCATAGCTATAAAGTGTACAATGTGGTGATGTGATATACATATACATCATGGAGTGGCTCCTAAGATGAAGATAATTAACAGATCTGTCACCTCACATAGTTAAATTGGGGCAGGGGAGGTGGTGAGAATCCGTAAGAGAACTCTCAGCAAATTTCAGGTATATTATTAACTACAGTCACCAGGTTGTACATTAGATTCTGAGAACTGTGTTACTTATAACTGAAAGTTTGTACCCTTTGACCTGCATCGACCCATTTTCCCCTTCTCTCAGCCTCTGCAACCACCATTCTGTTCTCTGTTTCTATGAGATTAGTGGGGGTTTTTTTGGTTTTGGTTTTGTTTTTACAATCTACATATAAGTAAACCACATAGAGTTTGTATTTGTCTGGCTTCTTGGCTTCTTTCAGTTAGCACAATGTCCTCCAAGCTCTTCCACGTTGTTGCAAATGGTGGGATTTTCTTTAATGGCTGAATACTATTCCATACACATACATACACACACATCACTTTCTACTTATTCATTCATACAGTGAAGGAGATTTATGTTGTTTCTGAATCTTGGTTACTGTAAATAATACCACAATGAGCATGGGAGTGCAGTATCTCTTTGAAATATAGATTTCATTTTCTTTTTATAATAATATATACCCATGAGCGGGATTGCTGGATTATATGCTAAATCTATTTTTAATTTTTGGGGGAACCGCTGTACTGTTTTTCACAGTGGCTGTACCCACTTACATTTTCACCAACAGTGTTTAAGGTATCTTTTTTCTCCACATCCTCATCAGCATTTGTTATCTCCTGTTTTGTTTTGTTTTTAATAATAACCATCTTATAACTTATGGGGTGGTGTCTCATTGTGGTTTTAATTTGGATTTCCCTTATGATGATTACTGTTGATCATCTTTTCATATGCTTACTGGCCATTTAAATGTCATCTTTGGGAAAATATTTATTGAGTTCTTTGCCCATTTTTTATTGGATTATTTGCTTTTTTGTTGTTGAGTTTATAAGTTCTTTATATATTTTGGATATTAGCCCCTACCAGATATATGGTTTGCAAATATTTTCTTCCATTTCCTAAGTTGTCTTTTCAATTTATTCTTTGCTGTGCAAAGCTTTTTAATGTGACATAGTCCCACTTGTTTATTTTAGCTTTTTGTTGCTTGTGCTTTTGATGTCTTATCCAGGAAATCGTTTCCAAGACCAATGCCAAAGATCTTTTCCCATATGTTTTCTCCTAAAAGTTTTACAGTTTCAGGATATACCAGAGGATATGTTTATTGATTTTAAAGAGAGAGGAAGAGGGGAGAGAGAGAGAAACACTGATGTGAGAGAGAAACATGGATTGAGTTGCCTCCTGTACATGCCTTGACTAGGGATGAACATGCAGCTAGGCATGTGCCCTGACTGGGAATTAACCCACAACCTTTTAGTTTACAGGATGATGCTCCAACCGAGTCACCTGGCCAGGGCAGAAAGATGCTTCTTTATCGTTTCAATAAACCCACATGAACTTGAGCTTTCTGGAGTATAGTTCTCCTTCATCGCAAACAAGTATTAACTATAAGAATCTTCAATGAACTGTGAGCACAAAAGTCAGGTCTATCCCTGCTTCAGTTCCACCCTTCTCCCTTGTGAGATGAGGAAGAGGGTACCTCTAAATTCTCCTCTGGCTTTGACATTCTATAATTCTGGTTCCTTTTCAACTACTTTGCATTTAGAAGCACATATCTTAAAGGAGCCAGTTAAACACCTTGTCTCCAGTGTCCTGGCATTCCTAGGGCTATTTCAGATAAGAGGCTCTCATGTTGCTGTAATCACAACATTGAGCCAACTCTGACCATCTGTACCATGGCCAAATGTTTGTTCATTTGACATGTACAGGGAGGAGACAGAGAGCTTGCATGTTATAAATTGTCATCTTAAAAAGAAAATAAACATAAGACTTGCAATAAAACCATAAAGTTTATTCATTTTAAGGCTGAACCCCATGAAGGATGCCTATAAAATTCTTATCTAAAACAATGTTTGGGAAATTGTTGAACAAGGACACTGTCATGTGAAGAGCTATAAAGAAGCTTTCTTGGCTAAGTATATGGGCTATATTAGAGAAGAAAATAAACACCAACAACATCTTTTCTCTGGAAAAACAACTGCTGGCTTGTTCCCCAAAACTTGTGTATTTGACTCTGCTCTTTGACTCACAGGCTCAAATTTGATGCTTCCGTCTGTGACTTGTCATTAACTCTGCATTCCTTTCTTTTAAACCTTATCAAGACCTGGGTTTCTAGATGTGATATCATTGTTTTTTGAACACCCTCATTTTTGAGGTTTACCAAGAAGGAAGGAAAAATATATTTCCCTGCCCCGTAAGCACAGGTGTAGTGACTCACCATGAGACACTTCCCTACGGTGACAACAGAGCCAGCTCTGCCCTCGTTGCTTGAATACCCTGTGCCATCTGACAGGAATTCACCTTGGTCCTAGAATTACCTACACAATTAGCCTACTTTCTAAAGCCCGGGGTGATGATGGTGTTGGAGTCCCTGGATCCCATAATCATGCTCCTGAAGTCATGTGCCATGCCTTTGGTTAGGAAAATGCCCAAATGTAGGTGGAAAACCTCTTTGGAAGTAGCAAAAGCTCTCTCTCCTCTCACACATAATTGGTGAGAATATAAGATGGTTTAACCATCTTAGGGAAAAGTTTGGTAGGTTCTTACAAAACAAAACAACTACCTATTCTATTACTCAGTAATCCCTAGGTATTTATCCAAGGAAAATTAAAACATGTCCACAAAATGACTTATAGGAGAATGTTCATAGCAGTTTTATTGTTATAGCAAAAACTGGAAAAATCCAGGTATCTATCAATAGAATGGATCAACTCTGATGTATTCATTCTATGGAATACTGAAAGAGAACAATGAAAAAGAAACAAATTACTGATACACAAAACAACATAAAAATCTCAAAAACATTGTATTAAGTGAAAGAAGTCACACATCCAAGAGTATATACTCTTTAATTCCAGTGGTAGAAGTTCTGGAATTTAAAATGAATCTATGATGGAAAAAATCAAAACAGTACTCGCCTATAGATGGGGTAGGAATTGATTGGGAAGGGGCACTGGGAACTTTCTAGGGTGATGGAGATGTTCTCTATCTTCATAGGGGTTTGGTTTACAGGTTAATAGGCATCTGTCAAAACGTTGCAAATGTACACCAGAGATGTGTGCATTGAGTTGTATGTTAATTTTACCTCAAAATAAAAAACTGCATATAAATATTGAACTTTAGTATAGTAAATGATATGTATTTGGAGGAAAGTGTACTGATGTCTTCAATTTACTTTGAAATGCATTGAAAAAACATGGATTTATAAGTGATTGGAAGATAGTAAATGTATCAATATGTGAAATAGCATAGGTAGTAAAATTCTAATGATAGACTCTAAGCGATGGGTATGTTCAGTAGGATGGACAGTAAACCCGGGCAGTGAGGAGGAGGGAGGCACGTCTCACCCACTAACTCAGCAGCCCTGAGCCTGGTCCGATAACATGGCCAGGTGCTCTGACCTCCCAGGAAACATCACGCTGACACGGGAGAAGGGCAGACCCTGAAATTCTGTATGTACCATTAGCACTGTCTGAGAGAAAGGCTTTGAAGCTATGTATTCTTCCCAAGGCCTAGAAGGGGGAAGAGACAGGGGTCCACAGTGCCCACAGTGCCCACAGAAAGAGCCCATAAAACAACTTTGGTTAATTGCCTGCCTCTGGTCACTATCTGTTTTATGAGGCAGTCCACAGTGCTTAAGGAAAAACCCACAAATAACCTTAGTTAGTTGCCCTAACTTTGATTAGCTGCTTCCTGTCACACATCTGTTTTACAACAAGATGACCAAATGTGGTCTGGAGCAAAGTGAGAGTTCAGGGAAAAAGACCCCCATACATGCCTACGTTTAGGCGGTCATGTCCCCCAGGGGAAGCTGCCACGACCTTTACCCACCGATCGGTATGTAACTCCCTCACCTCGTCCCGCCAACTCCATCAGTCCTCAGGACAAAGGGCCCGATGCCTTTGGCCGTTCCCTGTGCCCGGGCCTTTCTCCCCGACCTCAGCAAGGCCTATTCTCTTCCGTGAGAACACGTCACGTGTGAACTCTGTGTGCCCGCTCATAGACTTGCTGATCTTTAATTCTTCACTGCATCGGCAAGAAGAACAGAGTTTTTCCCATAGCAGGTATACAGGTAAAAGCATACCGCCTCTGTAAAGTCTTTCGACTCTTTTCCACATTTGAAGATGTGTGCGATAAGGAAGTGCTGCCAGTCTCTGAAGGTCCCACCGGCAGGGGAACCACCTGCACCCTGGCAGCCACACTAAGAGTTGGCCACGCTCCTGAGAACACCTCTTTCTCCCCAAGAATATTTTAAAATGTCCTTCTGAAACGAAAATCTGATATTACGTGCTTACTATGTGCCAATGGTTATGCAAAATACTCTTTCCCTCCTTGGGGCCCGCATTTATTAGAAGCTGGAAGCATAGCCGGCAGCCCTCCACCTCCTCCTAGAGGTGCGGCCCCAAGGGCTGCAAACCTGGCCTCTCCACAGCAAACAGCCAAGAGGCCCTACTTGGGCCAAAGCAAACAAATCAGACGGAAATGTTCTTATCTGGCAAGCAGAGAGAGCGCCTCCCAAGCCTGCAGGTTTCCACCCCAAGTGTAAATCCTCCCTCAGGCTTCCAGCTCCCCAGCTCCACTGAGTTGGCCCCTGGCTTCAGCTCCGGAGCTTCCTGGAGTCAGCCCGGCCCCTGGAGTCAGCCCGGCCCCTGTGCATGGCCTCGCCGGGCCCTAGGGCCAGCAGCGGCTGTGAGGTCAGAGGAGGCAGCTGGGCCTTAGTGTCCCTCCCACTGCGCCCTCCTGGGAGCCTAGCTGCAAAATGCTCCCGCTGGACCTTCTGGGAGTCTCCCCCAGGGAACTCAGTGTCCTCGGCCACCTTCTTCTTCTTGGTCACTGGCCAGTTGTGGTCCCGGTTCTGAGGCGCAGTCTGTGGGGTGATGAACTCAGGCACCGTGCTTCCTGCACTGGTCATCAGCTTGACGTTCACTCCAAGGTGGTCCCCACACTCTTGCTTCTGGAACTTGGCCAGTGCCGACTTGGGCAATGGGCCCTTGGCTGAGGTCTGCAGTTTCCCGGCCTGGGTTGCCTCTGCCTTCACCTTCCGGGCCACTCCACCAGAGCCCCGCTCGTCTGGGCCCGGCCTGGTGCAGCCTGGGGGAGCTGGGCACCCCAGAAGGTCTAGCCTTCCAAAACTCTTTGCATTCATAATATCATTCAATATGCAAAACTTTCCTATGGTAGATGTACAATTTATATCTCACTTTATTAGTAAGAAAATAGAGTATTATTGGAGCTAAGTGTCTACTGCAAGCCCTCCGCTAATACGTGGCAGAGCCTGGTGAGAATCCGAGACACTGATGCCAAAGCCCAGGCACCCACAACGACGCTCTCCTGCCTCCCTCCAAATCCATTGTTTGACTTCGAAATGCCTCAGAAATTTTCCACTCCAGTGCCATTATCTTAGAGACAATAATGAGGCCCAGAAAGGAATAGTGATTCGCCCACACATGAATTCTCTTTTCATTAAGGTCTGGGCCATTTTCTTTGGGTAGTTTTGATGCCCATACTCTGTGACCAGTTAACAGCACAAGCAATGAATACAGGGTCTGGCAGAAGTAACACCTGCTTGGGTGTGGTTGGTAGGGTGTAATAATATGGGTGTAATAATATATAGTTTTAATTTGAATGTTTCACCTAAAATGTCACATGGTGTGCTTGAGTGGGATATTGTTATGTTAGAGAATTACGTGCTTATGATTTTATACTAAAAGATTTTGTAATAAAAAGGGGGCGTTATCTGTGCTGGACCCTGTATCTTACTGTTTGAAATAAAAGGAAAGTAGTAAAAGAAAACACCAAGTGTCCCTGAGGATGTGGAGCATTTGGAACTCTCATCCATGGCGGGTGAGAGTATAAAATGGTTCAAATACTCCGGAAAACAGTTTGTCACTTTCAAACAAACTCAAATATACACCCATCCCACCACCCAGCAATCACACCCAAAGTCATGGAAAGAAAACACATGTCCACCAAGAGACTAAGAATGTCCATAGCAGCTTTAGTCAAAAGCTGAAAATAGCCAAAATGTCTATCAACTGGGAATGAGTAATTATAAAAACAATCTGTGCTATATTCATGCAATGAGATGCTGCTCAGCATGATGAAAGAATGAACTGTTAACACAGGCAACCATGTGGAAGAGTCACAAAAACTTTACGTTACCCTGACTGGTGCAGCTCAGGTGATTGGGCGTTGTCCCACAAAGCAAAAGGTCACTGGTTCGATTCTTGGTCAGGGCACATGCCTAGGTTGTGGGGTTGGTCCCCAGGCAGGGCTTGTATGAGAGGCGACCCACCGATGTTTGTCTCTCACATCAGTGTTTCTCTCCCTCTCTCTCTCCGTCCCTTCCTCTCTCTCAAATAAATAAGCAAATAAATAAATATTTTTTAAAAGTCTTATGTGAAGTGGAAGAATCCAGACATAGCAGAGTACATATTATATGATTTCATTCATATAATGTTTTTTAAAAAGGAAAAACTAATCTATGGTGTTAGAAGTCAGAGCAGTTGTTGCCTTGGCGGGGGATCGACTGGGAAGGGCAGGAGGAAATTTTCCGGGGTAATGGAAATGTTCAATATCTTGAGCTGGGTTGTTGTTACACAGGTGTAGAGATTCATCATAATCCTTCAAGCTTAATATTTAAGATGTGTGCATTTTATTTGATGTAAATTAAACCTAATAAAGTAATGCCATCATAAGAACCATTTAAAAAAAAACAAAGAAAACAAGAAAAATTAAACAAGGAATTTGGCAGCAAGGGGAATTATATTTTCATCTAGTCATTCTGAAGATGTGATATGGTAAGATTCCCCACCCCCCACCCACCCTTGATGAGGAACAAGTAGAGAGTACAGTGGAAGTAAAGTGACTTAAAGAGTGAGAGAAGGAAGGAAAGGAGGGAGGGAGGCTGGGAGGGAGGGAACTCGTTACATATAGACTCCTCAATTGACATCTCTGTTGCATAACTACCATTGCATGTCTTGAGCAAATCAGCTGACGCTTTCTAGTTCATAGAGTTTTCCACAAAATAGATACTGGATTGTCCAGCAAACATGGAGAAGGGGCGATTGCTCTATGCCACCTTGTCCCCACTTTGGGGCTGAATGAATGGGCATAAACTCTACATCCTCAAGACAAGAGTTTCTCCCATGGTTGTAAAAAATGAACACATCCTCGGTGACTCATTTCCTCTCTCCTGCTGATAGGACTTTTTCCAGTATAGTGGGATGTTATAGAGTTTGCTTGAAGCAGTGTTCATGGTCAATATCTTTAACAAATATGAAAGGACAAAGTCCAAGACTGTAAAAATTTATATCCTGGGGCAGCAAGGAAGAATTTTTCCATAGTTTTTTTCTTTTCTTTTCTTTTCTTTTCTTTTCTTTTCTTTTCTTTTCTTTTCCTTCCTTTTCTTTCTTTCTTTCTTTCTTTCTTTCTTTCTTTCTTTCTTTCTTTCTTTCTTTCTTTCTTTCTATAATGAGTAGTTTTTGCTGTTTTCTCAGAATTTAGAGTTTTAAAAAAACTCAAGGCTCACCATTTTATTATATTGTCACTTTGGATTTTTCCCAGATCCCTCTACCAGACTCCATTTTCCACATTCTCCTAAAGCATCTTTCTTACACTGACCATTCCATTAGGTGCTACCCACCCCACTGCCCCTGCCTGGCTGAAGTTCTTTTTTCATGCCAATCTAATAGTATTGAAATGTTTAGAGGTCCAAAAAAAAAATCAACCTTTTAAAAACTTCCAAGCCCTGGCCAGGAGCTCAGTTGGTTAGAGTGTCTACCTGATATACCAAAGTTGCAGGTTCGATCCTTGGTCAGGACACATACAAAAATCAACAAATGAGTGCATAAAATAAGGGAACAACACAATTGATGTCTCTCTCTCTCTCTCTCTCTCTCAAATCAATAAATAAAAGAAATATTTTTTAAAAAATAAAAAAACTTCCAAGAGTCACCAATGGTAAAATAAGAACTGTTCATTAATTAAAATGAGTACTAAGTGACTTGCTGCCGCACCAAAACTGGAGACAATTTCCCCTTCACCTCAGATGAAGAAGCAATGAGAAGCTTCAGTGTTTGACTCAAGAGGAACTTCACCGGTCATTCGAAGACAAAGGCCACAATATCCAAGCTTCAGTCAGGGAACCTGGAGTCAGGAAACATCCTGCAGACATGACAGAGATTTCTTAGTGAAGTGCAATCTAGGTATCATCTTGGAGATTTCATTAAATTTAACTGAAATTCAAGTTCCACAACTTCCCCCCGACAACTCCCTACAATTCCTTATAGCTCTCAGGACTCACTTCTCCAAAGTTTCCTTCCGTCTCTAAGCCTCTTTGCCAATAGGGACAATTTCTTTTGTTTCACATTTACATGTTTCTACAAAAAAATCGACTCCCATCTTCTTGGTCTGTCCCGTCCAATACGGCAGCCCCTGGCCCCATGTACAGCCGGTCGGTGGTCAGTGCCAGGCCGCGGGGGAAGCTGGGGAACGGAGAGATGCCTTCTGCCTGCGTGACAGGACAGCACGCTGCCCAGGCTGCGGTTCCCGCCAGTGTGCTCCTCTCTCTCCCCTGACCCTCACCCAGTTTCTAGTAAACCTCTTTTCTGAACCTGTTTTACGTGCTCCCTTGACTTCTACCCTGAAAAGGGGCAAGAAGCTCCCCACTGGGGACACGAGCAGTTGTGCAAAATGGAAGTTTTTATAGGAAGCTGGACAGGACGAGAAGGTTATTAGGAAAAGGAAAGAAAGGACTGTCCCAGGTGAGGTCCCCCCTTTTTGGAGGAAGCAAATGACAGGGGTCTTCTAAGGCAGATGACATCAGTTGGGCTGATCAGTAATTTCCAGCTTCAAATTCCACTCTTGAGAGTGAGAGCAGTGGAGCTGCGGCTAAGTCTTGGTTTGCTGTCCTGGGGACAAGCGGTTTCACTTGGGGCCTGCGGGTATTTAATTAATTAATTAACAAAAGCTTGCTGAATATTTGTGAGAACATCTCAAGGGGTCTTATTTTATTTTCCATCAGAAAATTCACTTTGCCGTCAGCATTTTTAACCACTCTCCTCTTTGTAGAAATTATCACCCACCTATAGAGACATATCATTGTTAGTGTTTGCACTTGCAGAAGTCTTTTCAAGAATTAAGGTAAAAGCACCACGTAGGTGAAGGTAAGAGGCTTCAAATGAAACCAATTCCTTTAGAGCATGAATTCTGCCAAGAGAGAAAAGAAAACATTCAGAAAGAGGTGAATATCTTCTCGGGGAAAAAAAAAAATTGAGTGAAGCCTTTGTCTGTGGGGAGGGGAAAAGATATGTGTGAGCTTGCTTGTCCTCTAGACGGAAACACCTAAGAAGAAGAAGGAACAGGTTTGGAAGCACCTACTCTTTCTTAGGTTTTACATGGGATTATTATACCTATTATTATACCCATGGTAAGTAATCATTATATGATATATGTCATGTATCCTGAGCCTCCTTATTTTCCCCTCAAAAATTTGGGCAAAGAAAGTGTGCATTATACATGGCAAAGTATGGATAAGTACCAGCATGTGGTAGACAAACAGAGGAGATGCGTCTCTGCTGCCTGAGAGGGGAATAAGGACAAACCTCCGAAGGGAAGTTGCCAACCAACCAAGCCGAGTGATGGAAGCTCCCACAGGACGGGGACCAGGTGGGTCCTCTTCAACTTTCTCTTTCCTCCCCTTCTCTTCCCCGCTGCACCCACCCACACAGAATTTACACTTAACAATGTTGATGTAAGAATGTCTAAACCTGTAGAGACTTTTGTGAGAATTTATTCAAGCCAAACTGCCAGGAAGGAAGATCTCAGATGCTCCAGAGAATGACAGTTTTGCAGTTTCTTTTCATGCATTTGAGATTAAGATGAGAAGGTAAAAAAGATTACATGGAGGTGGGAGAAAGCAAGGCAGGGATTGGATTACAGGACAGTTAACACAATTCCTGTATTTTGCCATATATAATGTACATTTTTTGCCCAAATTTTTGAGGGAAAAATAAAGATGTGCATTATACATGAATACAATGATTACATACCATGGGTATAATAATCCCCTGTATAATGCACACAAAACATGGGTGTGCATTATGCATGGCAAAATACGGTATGTGCTCTTGTGGGCGGGTAGCT